GATGTTTACTGGGGCATCGTGGCCACAGCAGAGACATAGCCAGAACACCAGTGTGAATCCCACTGTCTCTTTTTTTTTTTTTTTGTCTTTTTCCTTTTTATTGGTACCAGGGATCGAACCCATGACTGCCTGCTTGCAAGGCAGGCGCTTATGCCGCTGGGCTAAATCCCCAGCCCATCCCACTGTCTCACCAGGCAGGGGCTCCCAGCCTCAGTTCCCCCCGCCCTCGTAGGACTGGAGTGGCTTTGTGCCCAGCAAGTGCCTAGCGTGGGGCCAGGGTTCTGTGTGTAAGGGGCCCCAATCTATTCCACAGCTCTCTCCAGGGCCACAACTCTCAGGCAGGGCCCAGGGCTGAGCAGGTGGGCATGGTGTCACCCATAGGGAGTGTGAGTGACAGCTGACCATGCTCAGGATCCCGTCTGCCACCCGCTCCCATCCACGGACCTTTGCCAGGAGATGGTGGGCTGGATTGGGCCAGGTTGGGTTGGATGGGACAATAGTTCCCAGCCTTTCTACCTGGGACAGATTGGACCCTGAGAGCGGAGGGAGTAAAGAGGTGCGCAAGAACTCCATCTGGAGCCCCTGAGGGCCGTCCATCGCCCCAGATGCCCCCTCTCACACACTGCAGGGTCTCCAGCTCCTACACTCCCAGCCCACAGTGGGCGTCCCTCCACCTGCTTTCCACCCTCCTGTCCCGCCCCCACTCCCAAAATCACAGCCTGGAGACACGGGAGACACCGATGCTGCCACAATGGCCACCCACAGGCACAGTGGTAGAGGCTTAGCACCCAGCTTCACGGCCAGGGGACTGGCCGTGCCCTGCTGGCTGCTGGCTATTGGCTGCATTTGGCCTCAGCCTCTGGGTCCTTCTGTCTGGGTTGAAGTGGGGCTCTCCCAGGCTCCCCCTGACCTGAGGCTCCCCACTGGCCTGCCTCCCGGCCCCAGCTGGAGCTACACGGGCCCCCCATCACTGGCACCAGCAGAGCCCAGGTTCCAAAATCCAAGGACCAAGGGATGGGGGCCCTGGTGTGCAGGCGGGCAGGAGAGTATGGGGGCCTGTGTGCTGGAATATGCATGCACACACATCACACACTGTCAGGGGCGCGTTTCACCCAGGCTTTGTGCACCCCCACAGCTGGGGCGGAGTCCTGGGCTGTGATCTGGGAGAGCCCCACCCTCCACTGTAGCTCTGACCTGCAGGGGCCTGAGTGGCCCTGCCTGACAGACTCACACATGCATGGACACAGCACCCACGCAACACCCACCTGTGCACACCACAAGCATACAGTATGCAGGCACATATGTGTGCATACACAGATATATGCACATGGGCCTAGAGCACAGGCACATGCACATGTGCATACACACACACACACACACACACACACACACACACGCCCACACGCCCACACGCACAATGCCCATGAGCCAAAATGGAGCACAGCGACTGCCCCTGCCCCAGAGTGCATGGAGTCCAGGACATTGTTGCTCAGCCTCAGGAGATGGCACAGCAGGGAGGACGTCCCCTTGACACTGGACCGGCTGCACTTGGGGTGGAGGGAAGGGAGCTTCCCAGATGCCTTGCTGACACGCCCCATGTTGCTGGCACCAAGGGACAGCTCTGGATGTGGACGGCAAGGCCGAGGGGCCCAGCAGTGGGGACAAAGGGCCCTTTGTGCTGTCCCTGCCACCCTTCTGCTAGGGTTAAGGGGACTGAATAAGCCCCCTCTGAGGCAGCCCCGGACTCCACCTCTGCATGCCAAGGCACAGGGGTATGGATAGTGCCATTGGCTTGTTCAGGGGCAGGCAGCTGGGCAGACAAATGCTGAGCCCTGGAAGCACCCCCACCACCTCCCGCAGGGTCCTGGACATTAGGGCTGCTCCCTTCCCTTCCCTTCCCTTCCCTTCCCTTCCCTTCCCTTCCCTTCCCTTCCCACCTCTCCCCTCCCCTCCCCTCCCCTTGGCTATCAGTGCCCTGCTGCCTGGATTCACCCTCTGCCTTGGGTGCATCTCTACCGCCCCTCAACCTCTCTGGGTGCCCCCCAGCTGTTCTCCACAGGATCCCGCATCCTTGGGAAGTGAAGGTGGAGTGGAGGATGCAGGGGCTGGGGAGGAAACTTCGCAAGGGGGCTCCCGGCTAGGACCCCCGGCCTTCCGAGGGCCTCACATGGAGCCCTGCCACAGGAGCAGAGTTGGAGGCTCCCCATGCACCTCCCCCCCAGCACTGGTGGTGACACCAGAACTTGGCCCTCCTGCCCAGGTTTCTGGCCAGGGCCTCTTGGAGCAGCATCCTGGGTGTTCCTGACCCTGTGCTGCCAGCAGAAGGACAGGGCCTGGCCAGAGCAGACGGGAGGTGCCAGGGGCCCCAGTGCCAGTTACTGCCTCAGAGCAGGCAGGGCAGGGGTGGAGTCTTGGGTCCGATCGGCTTGGTGTCCTCCAATTCAGGCTATTCCTGGGGACTTGGGGCAGGACTAGGTTGGGGAGTGGAGGGGGGCATCCCTCACTGGGTGGCAGAAGTCTGGCTCCCAACACCTCTCTCTGAACTGGCATAGGCACTGGAAATGGGGTCCACTTTCCCACCCCTCAACCCATGAGCTGCGGGGGCAGCAGCTGGACAGGCCATGCTGACCATGGGCCCTGGGCCTCAGGCAGGCCCAGCCACTGCGTGAGCAGAAGCTGAGGCTCAGAGGGGCAGAACATGGGCCTGCCCTCTCTAAGCCTCAGTCTCCCCATCTGTCAGCAAATAGCCTCTGACAATAGTGCCCACAGGTCCCCGACGGGTCCCGCAGCTCTGGAAGCTCTGGGGCTCAGGAGGTAAGGCGGGTGGGAGGAGGGAGGAGGAGGTGGCATCCTGAGATGTCCACAGCCCAGGCAGAGGCAGCAGGGTCACACCCTACCACCACTGCACCCCGAATCTAGGGCCTTGATGGCCCCAATCTCCTGTCAGCTGAGTGCCAGTCCTCCTCAGGGCTCAATGCCCCTCCCTGGTTCCCCTGTCCCCAAATCAGTAGACCCCAGCTTTCCTGCCAGGCAGCAGACAACCTCCACTGGGTGGGGGTTCCTGCAAGCACAGGTGCCTCCCCCAGGAGCTGGCTTTCTCTGTTGGTCGCTGCTGCCCCCACCCCAGCAGAGTCTACCCTGTGAGAACTGCCCCTCCCTCTAGATGTCCACCGGGTCCAGGGTGGGGGCCTGGGGAGGGGTCCCGCTGTGTAGAAATAGCAGCCTGGGCTTGGACGTGCATGTAATCTTCTGCTGAGAAGATAATTTCTTTCCGTGTCTTTGACAAGCCTGGGGGGAACAAAGGGGCTTTTGTGCATGCCCTGGGTCCACCCAGCCGGGCAGGGCATTTTCCTGCAGATGAAAACCCTGCGACAGCCACAGGAGGTCTCCAGGCCTCTCCTTCCTCTGTCCAGGACTGCCTGTCTCAGAAAATGCAGAACCCAGGCCTTTCTTCTCCCTTGCATCCTGGGACAGACGGGCCTGCCGAGAAGGAGAGGTGCCTGGTTACCAGCAGCCTAGCAGAAGGGCCGGCAGAGGCCGCTGACTTCCTCCAAGCTGGGTGTTCCTGTGATCCAAAGTCCTGAGGTTGTAGTCACCCTTTGGAAATATGAAAGAGAGAAAATACGCATATGCACGCACGCACGCATGCACGCACGCACGCACACCAGTAAAGATCATCAGGAGACTCCCGGGCAGGGTGTCCGCAGGCGGATCTTCCCAAATTGCCTTCCTAGTTCATTTACCTCCCGCTTCTCCCAGTGGGAGCCACCGGTCATTCCTCCCTAAGAGATTGTCCACTTGCCTCCGGGGCACTCTGTGTCCAGAGGCTGCTGCAGGAAGGAGGCAGTGAGGCCAGGCCCTGCCTCCCTGGAAGAGGAGAAGGCTTCTCGTGGACCCAGGATCATCCCAGATTCTCTGCGCTGGCTCCCTGTCCAGCAGCCAGCTTGAGTTTACGGGGCTATTCCAGACTGATCACACTGTTCCCTGGGCTGCTGGGTTCCAGGAGCCTCTAGAGCTCCAGGAACTGGGCCCACAGGCAGGCACCACACTGTGTTCCCCGTTTTGCAGATGAGACTGGTGAGGTTGTGTCATTTCCAGCTGACTGAGCTGCCCTTCCCTGGGGCGTCTCCACCTCATACCTCACCTGACACATGATCTACAGCTATAGCTGTTGCTGGACACGCAGTCCAGAGTGCTGTGTTACCTCACTGCTGCGCCATCCTCACCTCTTCCCAACACCTCCGCATCCTCCCAGGTTGGCTCTGTCCAATCCCCAGCCAGGCCCTGCCACTGCAGGTCTGTTGCCCCCTGGGACGAGCATCACCCACGAGGGTCCTACTGGGTTCTCTCCTTCCTCATCAAACCTATCAGCCAAGGGCTCCTGAAACAGTCACAAAGGGTGTCTCTTGGGTGAGCCCTCCTGGGCTTTCCCACGGTGGCCAGATCTAATCCTGAGCTCCTCATCAAAGCTAGGAGATCCAGAGGGCCAAGCCCTGCTGCCCATGGCCTCTGGTACTCTTTGTGACCCCACCTGCCTACTTTTTGTTACCCAAAGGCACCAAGCACCTCCCTACCACAGGACCTTTGCACAGGTGATAGGCTTGGCGGTCCCTCAGGTCTCATCAACGGGCACACACGGCTTCTCCAGGCGATCCCCCCTCCAGCCACCCCCGGCACTGTGGGCTTGGTGCAGGTGCAGGGCAGCTGCAGGGAACCCCAGGGCACAGCCTGCTGCCTGTAACAGGATGAAGGGTGTAAGCACAGTGCCCAGGCCTCCCAGTCTAAGGGATACAGGGCCAGCCCCCTTCCCAAAGCCCACGCACACAGGAGTCCTCGGGGATCCCACCTAGCCGGCTTGGGTCCTGTGGATACAACAAGGGCTGCTCAGAGGCGCCCCCTGCCATCAGGGCCCTTCCTGCCCACCCCCTGGGGTCCCAGGCCTTGGGGGGCCATGCAGACTGCTCCAGAGGAAATCCTTGAATTTTCTGAAGATGAATGGAAACAGACGACTTCTTGTTTATTTCCTGGGGACTGTGGAGGGGTGGGAAAGCTCGGCCCCCTCCGGGCTGGGTTAACTCTTTCTCCTCTGGTCTCATTGTCCTCTTCCGGGCTGGCTCCTTGCGCTCCTGGCGCCCAGGACACTTTCCTGAAGCAGCGCGGGGTGGGGACAGGAGCTGAAACAGCACAATTAAAACAAAGCCAGCAATAAATCTGTCCCTGGTGATGGAGTCTGAGAAGCAGGAAGCAGCCTCCATGGGGGGGCAGGGCTGGGCCCCGGGGAGGGGTCTCGTTCCTCCAGCCCCCACAGCCAGGAGGAGACCAGAGAAACCTGCAGGCTGGCGCTTCGCTTCGGGGATCCTCGGCTGGGGGCGTCATGGCAAGATTTTCCCATGACCTCACCGGAAGTGCTGCACTGGGGAGCTCCCAGCTAGCTGACGCCTGGTCCCAGCAGTGACCCCCTACTGGAGGAGGGGTTGGGGTGTGCACGAAGAGGCCCAGGATGCAGACCCCTGTCCTGGGCTTTCCAGGTCCTTCGTGCCCACTCACCAGGCAGCGGGCAACCCCAGCATCAGCCCAGCCTCCCCATGCGCCAGTCCCAACTTGCTGCAGAAACCTAGGGCTGGGATCAGGGCCAGGGAGGTCACGCCTGCCACACTGAGCCTGCAGCTGGCCTCATAGACAGACCCCAAGGAACAGCAGACGTACATGCTGCTCCTGCTCCCGGGGTGTCGCAGGGCTCACGCCTGTGCTCACGGCCCCTCCCCCACATACCAGCTCAGGGGGCCGCACCAGGAAGTGTGACCGCCACAGTGACCAGCAGGCCGCCTGCCCCGGTGCCCTGGTTCTCACAGCTGCGCACGGTGGAGACTCCCACGCACCCTCTCTCCGTGACCCCTCGGCTCCTGCTGGCTCTCACAGCCTCACCCACTCCAGCTTGCTGGGTACAGCAGCCAGATGTTAGACCTTGCCAGATGTCTGGGCCACCTCCTGTAGAGCAGAAGGGAGCCAGCAAGACAGGCAGCACACAGATCTGTGCCAGGGCTGGGTACATGGATGCTCTCAGAGCCCTCCCGTGGTGGCTTGAATGGGGAGACTGAGGCCCAGGAGCCTGGGGCAGAGCTTGCCTGGAGGTGGAGTGCAGGCTTCCTTCTGGCCCAGCCTGCCCCAGCCTCCTAGGCCTGTTGGCTCACAGGAACCCAGACACAGTCCAGGGCACGGGCATGAACTGGGCTGTCACTGCAGGCCGGGTTGAGGAGGCTCAGCCTGGCCCAGCTTCACCCCGAGTCATCCCAGGGCCCCCAACCCTGCGAGAGCTCCTCCAGGAAGCTCCTGGGCCACAGACCTCGATGACGGCTCCACACACCTGTCCCTGCACATGCATGGATGCCCAGGCAAGTACACACATGTGCATGTGAATGTACACACCCAGTGTGCATGCACAGGCAACCCAGCCCATGAAGGCCATGTACATTCACAGATTCACACTCAGCTGCACACACATTCTTACAGGTACTCACACGTGCACACACGTGTACCTGTACACACACATGCACATATGGACACAAGTGCACACGCATGGACACATGTACCCAACCATACACATACTCAGCTCTAACAGAGGCCCTCACAGGACTCCTTGTGGCACACACAGGCACACCAGGAAGCCTTTCCCCAGGAGCACCATGCCAGCTCTACTTGGGTGACAGGTGATGGGATCCCTCTGCACACAGATCACACACACCTTTTTCATGCTCCTTGGCACTGGGTAAAGATCCGGAGTCCCCCATACCCAGCAGGGAGTTGAGTGGGGCCCGGCCACAGTGCAGAGGAGCCAAGAGCACCACCACAGCCTGTCTCTGCCCTGAGGAACAGGCACCCAGCACCCCAGGGACCTGGGGTCCAGCTGAGCTTCCCACCACTGACTGATCTGGTGAATGAAGGAGTGAGTGGATGCATGCAGGATCTTTCATGTTCCTGGCCCCTGGGAGGAACTCTTGGGAGTGGAGCTCTTGCGCATGCGTGTCTCTGTGTGTGTGTGTGTGTGTGTGTGTGTGTGTGTGTGTGTGTGTGTGCGTGTAGGGCCAGGGTTGGGTGTCCCCCTATGGGTCTGGGCAGTGGCACATGCTGGGCAGGCATGGGGCCAACTCCTTGGTGCCTTTGGAGCTATGTGGCTCTGCAGGAGGGAGTGGCAGGGCCCACAGTCCCTAGCCCCACTCCGAGGGCAGAACATCTCCAGGACACCCAGTCTGACTCCCCAGCCTGGAGTCCCCTAGGCCTGGCCACTGTGCCCATGTCACCTGCCCTGAGCTGAGGATGGCATTGTAGCTTTGTCCACCTGGGGCCCTGCGCTGTCTCTAGCTCATTTATATAACCTGGCCACTGCCCTTGGCTTAGTCCTCCGAGGTCTCAGGGTTCCCTGTCACCCACAGGCACCTTGTCTCCTGGGGGACTGGGTCCTAGTCAGCACTGCCAGCCTCAGAGGTCAGACACAGAGAGGGCGGAGGAAGAAGGGGCAAGGGGGTAGGAGGCGGGAAGAGAGCCCTCCTCAGCTGCGAAGAGCCTCAGAAGCAGGAAAGGTGCTTGGGGCGGGGAGACTGTGACCCACACCGGCTCTTCCCAGGGCTCCTGGGGACACCTGTCTGCCTGGCCCAGCCTACCCCGTGCCCGTCTGCGGCTCCACTTCTGCCTCTACCCTGAGTCCTGTGTCAGGAAGGTTGAGGTCGCAAACCAGAGGGAGTCATTTCCGCAGGCACCAGGGGTCTTGGGAGGACGGTTTGTTGGTCCCTGGAGGGCTGGGGGCAGGGCCAGGTGTCACTAGTGGGAGGAGGGGCAAAGACAGAGAAGTAAGGTAGGCATCCAGCTCTGCCCCCTTTGGGCCTGCCTTGGTTTCCCCTCCTGTGAATGTGGGGGCCATGGTCCCCTGGCTACTCCTGTTGCACTTGCCAGAGACCCTGGGCCCTAGGCACAGGGGAGCAAGGGATTGGCCTGCGGATCCACGGTAAGCAGTGTAAGGTGGGGGGAAGGCGGGTTCCAGTCAGTCCAGGACAAGGGTGGGCGCAGGGCCCCTGGGGCTGCCATTGTGCAGGTAGCTGGGGAGAAGGTGGGGGATGCAGACGCGAGTGGGGTGTGGCAGGGCCTCCCTGGTCAGTGGCAGTGGCTGTCGGTACAGCATGGTGCCCTGGCACTCCAGTCTCCCTGCTGGGAGCCCTGCTGGGAGTCCTGCCAGGACAGAGAGCTCCGGGCCACGCAGCAGTGATGGGATGAGCACAGTGCCCCTGGGGACATCTGGCCTGAGTCCTTAATGTACCCCAGGAAAATCTGATGACCACCCCAAGGCTCTGGGCTGCCACACCACAGCAAATGACCAGATTCACCACTCTGTCCCAGCAGCAGAGGCCAGTGGTCCAGAGTCCAGGTGTGGACAGGGTATCCAAGCCCCAAGGACCTGTGTCCAGCACAGGGCTGCCAGGTCTATATCGTGTCCTTTCTGGACTGGGGGTGACAGGCACAGACTGGGTTCCCAGAGTTCAGGGTGACTGCATCTTAGACTTAGTCACACTTGGACACTTTCTGGGACACTTATGCCACTCCAGGGCCCATTCTGAGGTTCCAGAGGGCAGAACTCAGCCCAGTGCTGATACCACCGGCCCTCAGCCCAACTCAGGACACTGCGTGTGGGACACCATCCCTAGGGATCACTCCACATCTCAGCCTCCTCCAGCACACTTGACAAGATGTTTTGGGCCAGGCAGGGCAGGATGGGCAATAACAGCTTAGCCAGGGGTCCCAGCAGCATGTCTTCCCACTACTCATGGGTGGCCGCCCTCCTTATGTAAGCATGGGGCTCAGAGAGCCCCAAAGCCAGGCACTGGGCAGTGGATTATGGTGACCACAGGCAGGGCCAGGCTGGGGCACAGAAAGGAGACACCTCCTGGGGCCCGAGGGCCTGGGAAGCTCGTGTCGGGTGCGTCCCCAGCCCTCGAGGGGCAGTTGGGCCTAGGCTAAGGTTTCCTGAGCTGGTGCCACGCTGGGCTGGGCCTCCCTAGTGTGGCTGCCCGCAGCCCAGCGCCTGAGGCCCTGCAGAAACGTCCTTTGTTGGCCACACAAAGCAGCTTTGAGCCGAGCCCTTATCTCCAGCTGCGGTGAGAGGGGACACCATAGATCCAGCAGAGCCGCTGGCCAGGCTGACGGCCCTCGAGCCTGGGACAGGGAACGTGTGGGGTGGGGCAGGGGTTGCCCCACCAGGTCTTCAGGGGCTCAGGAAGGGTACAGCTGGGGGCACAGCAGGTTCCGGGGACATCAGATCTGTGCAGATGTGCACAGACTTACACAGGTTCGGCAATGGGCTCAGGTGGGCACACAGTGCACAGACAGGTGCAAGTAGGCACAGTGGGTACAGGCAGGCATAGGCACATCTCCCTGGGCTGGCCGGGATGGCAGTGGGTCCCTACTCAGGGACAATGCCTCGTGGGTCTGGCCTGTTGCTCTTTGTCCCTGCCTGGATCTCTCTGCAGACACAGCCCTGGCTCTGGGCACCTGGAGGGCACAGCGAGGTCCTGCTGTGCCCCCAGGAGCTTGGGTGCTGCCTGTCTCACCCAGGCCCCTCTGTAGCAGCACTGGCCAGGGCAGAAGCCACATTGGAGGTGGGAGCCTCTTTAGTGGCCTTGCCCTGAGACAGCTTTGTGGGTCCGGGACCAGGGCTCAGCCCCTGATCTATGCCCATCTCTGCACCCACCTCTGTTGCCCAGGGGCTCAGCAGATGCCGCTAGAGGAATGATGGGCAGAAGAACAGCAGGTGTGGACAGCGAGGGTGAGTGAGGAGAGCAGAGAGACCCAGGAGGGCCCAGCTGGGAGCAAGCTCTGGGCCGCCACCCCTGGGGTGCGGGGTGCAGGGCAGACACTGCCTTGCTTGGCCCCGACCTGAGCTGTGGCAAGGACGCTGGTGCCCGGAGGAGGCCCCTTTGCTCCGAGGGGCCTGCTGCAGGTTGTCAGTACCTAGCAAGGGCAGTCAACCAGCAGCCCCATGTCAGCCTGGTCCAGAGGCCCAGGCCTGGACCTGAGGCAGCACTAATGCCACTGTGGGGAACCCAATCTGGATTCCTTTCAGCCCATGCAGATCCCTTCGCAGCCCAGCCCCGGGACCCAGCCAACACACAGACAAGTTGTCCCTCATCCTCGAGTCACAGCCATCCAGGGGGCCACACCTGCCATGTCTGGTAACAGAGGTTCCTTGGGGCCTCAGCGCTGACTGTGCTGTCCCTGGATGAAGTGATCACTAGGCCAGACACATGTCAAAAGTCAAGGACAAATACAGCAGTGGCCAGAGAGAGCAGTGAGCAGCACTGTCCACCCAGCCCAGCCCTGGGCAGTAGCCCAGTCCCCCCAAGCCTATAGATCCCAGCGCACCTTGCAGAGCCTCTTGTGGGGTTTTTTCCCATCTTTTTGAGGCAAGGCCTCACTATGCAGTTCAGGTTGACCTTGAGCTCATTTTGCAGCCCAGGTTAGTCTCAAACTTGCAATGATCTACCTGCCTCAGCCTCCTGAGTGCTGTGATTACAGGTGTGTGCCACCATGCCTGCCTGGCAGACCCCCATGTGGCACCACTGAACTTGCAGGACAGCACTGGCCAGTCCCCAGGCCCTATCGTCCACCCATCCAAGATGCTACTGCCCCTCATCCGCACCTGGCCCAGGGCCTGTCCCACTGTCCTCATGGCCCCTCAGCTGCCTGGCGGCCCCTCATCCTTGGGCACCTTGATCCCTGGCTACTTCCCACCCAAGCCTCAGCTAGAGTTGCTTCATTAAACTGCCAAATTACCTATTTCAAAACCGTCATCTGTTTATTTTTTGCACTCTGGCTAATATGATTGTGCCTTACCACTGAATAGATCAAAAGAAAGCAAAGTATCTCCTCCACTGATGTCCACAATGCATCTGACAAAATGTAGCAAAATTCTGAATAAGAAAGGGTAAGGGTAATAAAGTACGATGGAAGACTGCCTTTATATCACAGCAGAGATTTATCTTAGTCCCAGACTGACTTCTTCCTTTTTTTTTTTTTGGAG